GNCAGTGTTTGTTCCAGGTGGGCTTTGTTGGCTCCTGATTGGTGGAAACACTCACCTGAACCCAGCCAGCACAGAGCAGCAGCTGGGAGGAAAAGCATTGTGTGCAGTGGAGTTTCCTCTGGTGAACCTGGGGAGAAGTGGAGCTCTGATGCTGCTGAGGCCAAACAAGGACGAGCTGAGAGATCAGACCAGGGCCACGTGGTTTCTAGCAGAGGAGCCAGAGCTCCCATCAGCCCCTGCAGCCACAGAGAAGAGGAGGCTGCTGATTGGACGATCAGAGGAAGCTGCTGATTGGAGGATCAGAGGAAGCTGCTGATTGGATAATCAGAGGAAGCTGCTGATTGGACGATCAGAGGAGGCTGCTGATTGGATAATCAGAGGAAGATGCTGATTGGACCGTCAGAGGAAGCTGCTGATTGGACCGTCAGAGGAAGCTGCTGATTGGATAATCAGAGGAAGATGCTGATAGGATAATCAGAGGAAGCTGCTGATTGGACACTCCCATGAAAGTGGTTATTGTGTCTGGTAGTNGTTCTGCTTCCTGGAAACATTTTCATTGTTTTTACTGAAACCAACATCAGAGCTGATAGATTGTAAAGTGAATCATCTCAGTCCAGTCAGACGACCAGCATCATTAATTCTCCCTGATCTGCTGCTGATGAAACCACTTCATGTCTCCTGATGAACTCAGAGCCTCATGGAGCCTCATTCACACTTCAGTCAAACCTCTGGATGTTTGAGCAGCTGGAGATTCAGAGGAACATTTAGTAGAAAATAGAAAACTGATTTATTCTGTCAGGATTTATTCACAGCAAAAACTACATGCAGAATAAAGAAAAAACTGTAGAAAAACATTTGGACAAAATCAGAGTTTTTACATCTTTGCAAAATAAACTTGAAAGAAACATTTTTAATTTTTCTGAATTATTCTAAATGTTTTGTAAAACTTTATTTGAAGGGGTCAGAATCAGACTGACATGAAATTATAAACATGGAGTTTTATGAATATTTATGGTAAAGAGTCATTTGGTACATAATTACAATAAAACTGCATTAAAATAATCAACATTGAATTAATTCATGTCATTCTGGATCAAATCTGACATTTTTCTAGGAAAATGTGTTAAAAACTAAACTTTTATTAAAGTCAATGACATTAAATCTTCTTGAACTGATTTAGTTTCCTTCATAGCAGATCGCTCTGACGTCTGATTGGCTGAGAATATCTGACTTTATAAAACCAAAGAAGCTCCAGAACTAATTAAAATGAAGCTAAAGTTGAATAAATGATTTTCAGTGATTAATAATAAAATCCTGCGTTGCTGCAGCTGCAGCAGAGGGTTCAGCTGGGGGCCGGTCCCTTGGTCCTGAGGACCATCAGCAGAGAGAGTCCACAGCAGTACACCAGACTCTTCACTATCAGCACTGAGTAGAGCAGGCAGAGCAGCTTCACCCTGCACTGAGCCTGGAAGGACACTGACAGACACACAGACACAGAGACCTCATCAATCTACACATCCAGCTCCTGCTGAGCTGAAGCTCCTCTGGATTCATCAGCAGCTGATCTTACAGTCGAGCTGCAGCTGATCTGCCTGGTCTGGACTCTGTGGAGGACAGGAGGCTGCTGCAGCTGGAAGCTCTGGAGCAGAAAAGGAGGACAAAGTTTGGAGAGAAACAGAGAAACGTCCGTCCTCTGCTGCTCTGCTCGGCCTGACAGAGACTCACATGAAGCTGAGGAAGTCGCTCACTGAGCAGCAGATTTACATTTTATTCACATTTAATTATTTACCATCTTTCAGCATCTGAACTTTTACTTTAACAGATTATATCATTATGGTGGTGAAATAATAAAGTGTTATTATGCAGCTAATCTTTATTAAACACTGATTATATTATCAGATACATTCCTAATGTCTCCAGGCTCTCTAGCGCCCCCACCAGGCCAAGTGTTGCTGTTTTAATCTGTAACATTGACAGATTAAAGAGTCTCTGCTGAAACTCAGCATGGTCAGCATGTGACCACAGACTGAGGTCAGAGGTCACCAGAACTCTGGAGCCACTTCCTGTCTTTACTGGTTTCCACGGCAACAGCTTCAGCGAATAACAAACATTTTAATTAGGATGAAACAACTGAAGTTTCTATTCTTATATTCTGTGTTATTAATAATGTTTTCCAATAAAACATTTATATGGTGATAATTTCAAACTTCCTGTCGACTTTAAACATTTTGTAAAACTGGCTGGATGCCTGGCGCCGCTCCCAGCAGCTTCAGGGAGTTTTCTGCTCAAACTGTTAATATTCATCAGCTCTCCTGCTGCATTAATGATGAAGTTATTATGTTGATGCATTGAAAACAGAGCTGATGGTTAAACTGTGGAGCTGTGATGAGAAGCAGCCGCTTACTGACGGCTGCTGTCTGCAGCTTCATGCAGGTCTGTGACGTTTCTGATGCTACGGATCAAATGTGGTTTAACATTGTGATGCACATGTGGATGTTTACTTATTAGTTATTGATTCTGGTTTTATAAAGTACATATCTGGTTATTTTCTGGACGCCTCTGTAATTTTGGGTCCTGAGAGGAGAAATAACTAGGCAGCTTCCTCACCTTGTGTTGCTGGGGCCTCCACTGGGCCCCCCTCATGCCGCACAGAGCAGCGGTATCTAGATGTGTTGCGTTGATCCCGATCCACCAGTAAGATGGAGGCGGTGCGGTTCGGCTCTCTGAGCTCCAGCTGCTCTCCAGAGGTCAGATCCTTCTCTCCACCGTCCTCCAGTCTTGTCCAGGAGATCTGGACCTCAGGAGGAAACATGCCTGAGGCCAGACACAGCAGGAAGCCCTTCCTGTCCCGCTGGGCGCTGGATGCTGCTGGGTACACGCTCACCACGGGCTGCACTACCGGATCACCTGGAGGTCGGCAGCAGAAACCAGCAGATTCAGCCAGCAGCTCTCATCACTTTGATACGTTATGTTAGAAACACAGAGAAACTTTTCCACATGATTCAGAGTTTAGCTGCTGCAGACGATCCAGAGATTCAGCTGGAATCAGTTCATGAGCAGAGAAACGACACAAAGTGGCTCTGAATCTTTGTCTCATTTATTCTGATTGAAAGCAGCTGATTTTTAGAAGAGCTGAACATTTTACATGTTTTTAAATCAGATTTTAAACTTTACACACAAATTAATCTGCTGGTTTAAGAGATTTTAACTATTTTAGTAATTCAGTTTATTTATATTTAGCAAATTTACAACAAATGAAGTTACTTTATAAAAATATAGTTTTAATTCAGTCACTTATATTCCAGTTGATCCTGGTTATCGATCAGTTCACGAAGCTCATTAATTATTAATTGAAGCGTTTCTATGGAAACCAGCAGATTGTTTTATAGATTTTTCTGCTCAGATGAAGTTTTTCAGTCAAACTGGTTTTGTTTCTCCTTCCTGTCTTCACTGTGGGGCCCTCAGGGCCCCTCATGGCCCCTCAGGGCCCCTCATTGCCCCTCATGGCCCCTCATGGCCCCTCATGGCCCCATGTCGGGCCCCATATCGGGCCCCATGTCGGGCCCCTCATGGACCCTCAGGGCTCCATGTCGGGCTCCTGCTTTCCTCTTTGTTCTATTTAAAGAAACTTTGGTTTCCTTCACCGTCGTTCAGAGACTCTCAGGTTCATCACATGATTTATTCTTCATCTGACACAAACTGCTGGAGGCTTCAAACTTTTACATTTAAACCAGTAAAAAACAGAAAAACATCTGAAATATTTCAGTTTATCAGGATGAACATTAAATAATATTTACACATAAATGTACAGAAATTAAACTATTTGGATTATGATCAATTTTATGCATATTATTGGATCAAACATTTTTATTTTAAATAATTAATATTAAATTAGTTTTATTTTCTTGCCGCACATTAACATTAGTTCATTATAAAACTGTTTTCATTTATTTGATCAAATTTATACTTTACATTTTAAAAACTGTAAGGTTTTAGTTGAAATCTAAATTCATAGATTGATGCAACAATATGCCAAATTTATATCCAAATGTAATAAATATAATATCTTTCACAATTTAACTATGTTATAATTTGAACTCTAAATATTTATAATGACTCAATATTTGAAAATTAAGATGAGATGAAAAAATAATAATTAAAAACTATATTATTTCTCATCTACAATAATTTCTATGCAAATAAAATGTAAACGACTGAATTTTGATCATATTTTAGTTGGTTTTCAATATTTAAAAATTATAAATTTAAACATTGGTAACAAAGTGTTTCTCATATCTTTATAAAACTTTTGGTTTTTTTTAAGTAAAGAATTTCTTAAAGGTTTTCTAAACGTTTCTGTGAACATTTCTAAGATTTTAAGTTTTTACCAGATGAACATTTTTATCGACTCCAGAAACGTCAAAAAGACGATAAGTACAAAATATATGGAACATTCTAAATATTTTCTTAACTATTTTAATTTTAAAGGAACTATAGAGTTTTTCTTCTTCATCAGCAGCTGCAGGTTAATTTATTTACTAATGATAGAAAATCTGCAGCAGCAGAAACTGATTAAAAACATTTTAACTTCTAGAAAAAATCAACTGAAGGAAAATTTAACTTCTCACCGTTTACATACAGTTTGGTTCCAGATCCAAAGATCGGGTAGTTATAACTCCCACACAGTGAGAAACTCTGGTTCACAAACCTGTCGGCTGATTTTTGGTTTTATTATATTCAGTTGGTTTATTTTTACTTTTATTATAGTGAATTTTTCTCCATCAGCTTCAAGTAACTCTGAGTTTTATCAGTTATGTATAAAAATATTTTACAGTAATTAGATTTTTATCAACTATAGTATCAGATATTAGAGAATTAGAGTCACTCACTGTTTTAGACATTATTCTCTAATATGAATAAAGAGAAAATACTACATTATTTTCTAATGTTCTAGTATTTTTGAACAGGTTTTTCATTAACTACTGATATTTTCATAATTAATTCTCTAATAATGATAAAAACGGTTCTTACCCGTTACAACCAGTTTGGTTCCAGAACCAAAGATCCATTCATACCACAGTGAGACAGACTGATACAAAAACCTGTCGGCTGATTTTGGTCTGATTATTAAAATTATTTTCTCTGTCAGCTTCATGTAACTCTGAGTTTTATCAGTCAGTAAATAAATAATATTTTATTAGACATTTATCAACATTATCAGATATTGCAGTTAGACTCACTCAGAGTTTTCACAAGTTCTTATCCAATATTTAACAGTTCATTTAATAAAGTTGGTCAGATTTTTTTCTAACATGTTTTTCATGAATTATTGACATTTTTATGGTAATTTTCTTCTAGAAAGGACAGAATTTATGAGAA